CAACTGAAAAGTCACAATTGTGAAAACCCTAAATTGTCAAAATCAATATAAACTACAGGTTTCATGACATGACTTGGTTTTTGACCTTTTTCCCCAGACTTCTTATACTGTTATGTCAAAATTGTGATTTTCTCTACATAAGCTAGGATTTGGACTATTCTTTCAGCAGACAGAAAAAAAATCTTACTTTAATTTCGGGATTTTTAGAAAACAATACAGAATCTCTGCTTAACTTAGCTTTAGAACAGAGAAAGAGGAAGAAGAAGAAGAAGAAAAATACATAAAAACAGAAAGGCTTCTCAGATCAATTAGACTATTGTTCTAAGTACTAAGTATAAATATAAAAAAAATATATAAATATGACAAAATGGGGAAAATTTGAATGAGGAAAGAAAAGAAAAAAAGATGGGTGTTGTGTTCCTTGTAACTGATACCTTTTCACTGTGACCCAGTGTTAGTTAGTATTTTTACTAAGTCACATTTTAAAAAAATGTGATGTAATAAAAGGAAAATAACTGAATTATCTTTTTACCGTCCTCATGTGACTTTCTTCTTCATTCAATTATTTCCTTGTATTTTCAAACAAAGGAATTATCAATTTTTTCCCCTTTCTTTCAGAGAAATTTGAGATGGTAAAAAATACTGAAAAAAAATTATGATGTTTTAGAAAGAAGAGTTTGTTAAAAATGTTTTATCGTCAACAAGAATAAAAGCTGAAGTATCAGTTTAAATGTTGAAACTAAACTGTTTGTGAACCCTGGAGAAAACCAGGAACCAACAAGTGCGTGGAGAAAGAACTGTGTGTCCAAACTAGGGTTCATTTACCTGTTCCTGTCACATAAACACCTGTGTATGGAGGCAATGAAGGCTCAACACGGTTTTGTTGTGCTGCGTGCCTGGATGTTTAGAGAGGTGGGGGTGAGGTGGGATGGAGGGGGGACAAATGGGTCAAACTGTCTTTGTGTCCCCGAGATACAGGTAATTTATTTGACCATCCTGGTCATTTATACTTGACTTTATCCATTTTCTATCTGTGACACTGCGGTATCATCCATTTTAATGTTTTCCTTGAGTGTCTCGAGGGCAGTTCAGACACTGACCGACTAAAGGAGCTCATCTTTCATACCAGGATATGGAATGCTTAGCACTGCATGAATTTCTCGGGAAAGAATAAAAAAAACAAACAACAAAACTGTCTTCAGTTTTTGCCTGACGTTCCGACTGTGCGACCAGGAGTGGGTGAACAGGACAATCTCTACAGCTGAAATTCACTGTGTTAGTCAATGGCCACTGTGCTGTACATATCTGGACGTATGTACATACACTCCTGGTGAAGCTGATAGGTCAGGAATGACGGAAGAAAAACAGTGGAACAAATGTATGGTCATTTACTGTGAAGTGATTGAGTAACCACCCAAACTCCATACGTTTCACAAGCGTCTTCTGAGCTTCGACTCCCCTTTTCTGCCTTACATTTTCTCCTGACGCAAAGCATGAATGTCTGAGTGCTAAAGATTGGCCGAAAATAGCTAAAAGTTAGCACTTGAATACGTAAATGTTGGCAAAAATTCCCATCACACAAAGTGAACAGTGGGCAGTGTGTGGGGACGGTGCCAGGCTCAGAGCACCTCAGTGGTAACAGCTGGGGGACTTGAACCTGAAACCTTCCAGACCCAGGTCTGCATCCTTAACCGCTAAGTCACCACTGCACAGAAGTGTAAGGTTTAAACATTGTGAAATCAGTTTAATTAATCAATCAATTAAAGGTGTTTCATGAGGGAAAAAGAGAAAAAATACATCAAAGTGGAATCCTGGGATTTTTTTTTTTATAAAGAAAATATGAGGAGCGTGAAGATTGAGTAAAGCAGTCAGACAGGACAGTCTGGCTACAGAGTGGGAGGTGACAAGGACTGGGCTTCATCTTAGGTCAAATCCTAAGAATCCTAGACTGAGAAGAGAGTGGAGGAGGGAGGAGGCAGGGGTGAGGGAGGGAGGAAAGAGGGAGGAGAGGGGTGTCATTGTCAGAGCAGGTAAAGATGTGGAGGAAGTTGAAAAAAGTAAGAGATTGGAACAGAGGAGACACGGAGAGATGAGTTAAAACCACCTGAGCGGTCGAGGCCGGGGGTTTCCTGATTTTTCCTGAAGAAAAATTCTCTAAAAATGGCAACCACCTGGACATTTGTACTTTTCTTGTCCTTCATCCTGACGACATCCAGAGGTCTGAGTCTGGCCAGTGAGGAGCAGAGGAGTGCGAGTGTGGACACCGGTCACGACACGACTGGAGACGTCGGTAATGACACCAGCGGAGACACTGGTCACGGGGACAGCGGCGGTGGACACGGAGCTGCTTCCATCACCACTCTTCCTATTGTCACCTGGAAGTGGCACCATGTGTCCGTGCCGTACCTGGTGGCTCTGTGGATCCTAGTCAGCTGGATCTGCAAACTGAGTGAGTTCCTGCACCAGGGAAGTCCACCGCATCCCAAAACTGAAATCCTTAGAAAATATATATATATATTTTAAATAAATTCGATTTATGAAAATATTCAATTTAGAACTTTTAAATAATCACTGATTATTTACCACATAAATAATGATATTATAACAACATCGTCAACAGTTCCAGGAATCAATAGTTCTTCACATTTGTGGCTTCATCTGCGGGTTTCCTTCACTTCCCCGGGAGAAATCAACTCTTAACCTTTGGCTTTGCTTCAGTTGAGGCAGAATGAGCCCAAGTTTGACCCACGTTCACCTGACGGTTCAGATTGGACC